TTGACTAGCGGCAGCCGCAGGTGTGTTGTTGTGTGGAATCTGGTGCGCGCGCGGCATGGGTACCCAAAACAATGATAGGAAGCGGCAGCATTGCTGAAACTTTTTTAGCTCAAAACAGACAGATTTCACGCAAAATAGGCAGAAATGACACGCATTGCGAACGTTAGACTTATAGTCATTTTCGTTCCGTCTCGTCTTGTCAATGAAAACTCGAAAACGTCTCGTCATGTTTTAGTCACCTTAGAGCCATTTTTAGCTAGTCATCGTCGTGTTATCGTCATAAAAAAAAAGTGCGTCAACAAAATCATTTCGTTATCGTCATCGTTGACGAAAACAACATTGCTTCTCACTATAGAAATCTAAACATATTAGTCACTCTGAACCTACCACCATGTCTTCCGCTTCCATATGAAGTCAAACATGAAGACCGAACATGCCTTGTGGTACAGTTTACGTCTATGTTCAGCTTCAGCTGCATCAATGAGCTCCCCTCTGTACTCCACCACAAAGTCTCCTTGATTGAAAACAGCTAAGGTGAAGATACCACGACCTGCAGACACAACCTTATTATACACGGGCTAGCAGACTATCCATTGGATACAACTCCTTTCTACATGTAGAATAATGAATACAAGTGTAGAATACAGCAACAGACAGGACCACTACTAAAGGTGGTATCAGCGATTTCAGGCCCAAAAATAAATGATCACATTCATCTAATCTTTCCTAACGATCCACTAGCTGCCCGCCCCATAAGCAGGCCGTCAAAAAAACGTCTCTGAGATCTGCACACAAAAACAATTGGTTTCACAACACTCAAAACCAAAATAAATAGTGTTCCAACCAATCACTGACAAAGGTGGAGGTTTTGAGGTTTTGCGCTCGTGCACGGCTGAAGACGTGTCGGCCAAAACTTTGGTTTTGAGTGTTGTGAAACCAATTGTTTTTGTGTGCAGATTTTGACCGCCTGCTTATGAGGCGGGCAGCTAGCAGGATCGTTAGGAAAGATTAGATGAATGTGATCATTTATTTTTGGGCCTGACATCGCTGATACCACCTTTAAAATATCATTCAAATACTATTAACAACTTAAATTTATATTGATGTTTGTACAATTAATAGTCATAGGCTGAAAACCACTGGTCATAATATACATTAAAAAAACAGTGACGTGTAACCCCGCAGTTTAGCCTACATTGTGTCAAAGTCACTCACCTTTAACTGGATTAATATATTTGATTTCTAACATTGAACTCTTGTCTCTTCCTGAAAGGATGTGATTAGTGGCATCCTGAAGGGGAGTAGTTCTCCGTGGCATGACTGAATTTGCTAAGGAAATTAAGAACAAAAATGTAAACACCAACACATCTTCTCACATCAACACTACTTTTCATCTCACTAATACCATGGATATTCAAACAGTTTCAATTGAGTTCTATGCTTTCATAACATTCACATAATATTTCCCTGCTGTCAGAATATCAATATATTTTAAGTTCTGTGAGGGGTCATACACGACAAACAGATGGACACAAGGGTCTAATTTCAATGCCCTAATACATTAGGCCCCGGTTTCAGAGACAATGCTTAAACTAGTCCTAGACTAACATGCATGTTTGTGCGGTTTAAACTGAAAGCAACTTGCACTGACAGATCTTAAAATATGTCAATGTCATTGTTTTGTCTTAAGATGCACACCAGTAATGTGTTTTTTTTTCTAAGGCACGTTTATAAAAGCTGCTTAAATGTACTAATTAAAGGCCTAATCCTGTCTGTGAAACAGGGCTTTAGACCTCTTAGAAATGTAATGTGCTTCACTAATACAACTATAAGAGTGCAAAACAATATAATGCACTTTAAAAAGGTACAACTTTAGAATATTATGTAAACAAATATAGCCAGTGTATACTGAAGAATGGGTCCTGTCATCCATGTTACTCTAGTCCAGTGGTTCCCAAACCTGTCCTGGCGTACCCCCAACACTGCACGTTTTCTTCGGCTCCCTAATCAAACACACCTGATTCAACTCATTAGCTCATAAATGAGCTGATGAGTTGAATCAGGTGTGTTTGATTAGGGAGACAAAGTTGGGGGTGCGCCAGGACAGGTTTGGGAACCACTGCTGTTACTTTCATTCATTTCTTAAAAAGTATAAAAATTATATTTGTAATGGCCTTCCAAGTTTTTCCATTGTAACCCTATAAATATTATATGATTATATTGCAAAGTCCTATTTTTTATATCTCTTGTAAATATATATATTTTTTTAATTGACATGTGATCAGCCTCATGAAAATGTAAGATTGAAAAAATAAAAATCCAAAATGTGCAAATCCCAGTGAAAAGAGGGACTAAAATACTGCACATATGTGTGAAAACTATAACATAGTTCTACTTAAAACGATATATAGTATAACGCATGCATCTGTAAAAGGCATATAAAAAAATCACAACATGAGGTAAGTTAGATAAATACTCATAAAATAAAAAATATGCAAAATACAATATCTTGTCCTTTTAAGCTGTCTTCATTTCATGGATATTTAAAACAAATCGATACAATTTTATTTTTTAATTAGTCAAAGTTGAAAAGGCCTTGATTTCGCGGAATGACCCGCTTTACTGTTAAGTTTAACTTTGTATTGTCGTATTTGTATATCGCTTTGGACAAAATCATCTGCTAAATACCATAACTATAACCATAAACATGACCGTACTTGTCATTGGAAGCTATTAAAACGTTTTGATAATGATTTCTTACCTGCTCTCCACAACGTGCATATCCAGAACTCCCGGGAAAATGAATCTGCTGATGACAGACGTAACTCTCTCCTATCCAGCCAATCAAAATTCGTTTTCAATTATGAGCATGCGCAGTGTTGAACTAGCGTCTAATTTCGCGCGTTGTGTATAATTTCCCGCGCCTGTGTGTCGCAACATGCAGGGACAACGGCAACAGATAGGGGGCAGTGGCGGACACACACATTTACAAAATATGTCAGGTTTTTGGTATACAAAGACTTTTGAGAAAACCACTTTTTAGGTATTAAAACATGCTGAGAAAAGGTTTTATAAGGTTTATTTTTATGAGGACGGTCAACTGTCCTCACATACCAGAGGGTCCTCATTGCTCTCAGAAATGTCTTGAAATCTGTCCTTCTAAACCCCAAAACAAACACACACACACACACACACACACACACACACACACTCATACACACTCATTCACACACACTCACGCACACTTATACACACTCGTACACACACACACGCTCATATACACTCACACACACACACGCTCACACACACACACACACACACTCAAACACTCAAAAACGCACTCACACACACACACACACAAACACACTCTCACACACATTTTAACAATTTAAGTCCACTTAAAAGGAATGATGACGTTCACGTTCATCGCATTAGTCTTTTGCTGAAGACCCGTCAAGGTCAGAGGTCAAAGGTCAGAGGTCAGGGGTCAGAGGTCAACTTCTCCCCGCGCACGTGAAACTACAGACAAAAGACAAACGAGTGGATTAAAGAAGCGAGACGGACAGAGTTTATAGACCGGGATTAAGCGGCTCGTTCGAGGTGATGTTTGATTAGCAGTGGAGGATTATGGGTATTCCGGGGTCACGGTCTGGGGTCACCGTCTGCAGTCGGTCAATACTGTTACACACACCACACACACACACACACACACTCCTGTAGAGACTCGGACAGGCGCTGAGCTTCTTCATTTCTCCTCTGAGTGATTCCTGAGGAAATATGCAGTAAACATGAACGATAATGTTTTCTTCTGTCGTTGTTCGCCGGAGGACGGAGACGCGGATCAGTGTTGATGTGTTCATCAATGCTCGTTTCCCAAACTCTCACACACTCACACACACACTACATGTGTTTAATTTCAGACGCGAGCGGTGTGTTGTGATCGGTCACCGGAAGGAGTTCGATTCTGTTCACCGAAGCTTTATATTTGTATTATTTTTATTTACACGCTATGAAATGACACACACAGACTGCTTCCCCCTCTTATTAAAGGGGGGGTTGATTATGATTTCACTTTTCTAGCTTTAGTGAGTGTGTAATGTGTGTAAAGTAAAAGTGATTTACTTTTACAGAAATCACTTTTTAAGGACTACAACACACGGCTGGTTCTTCACGGGTTAGTGACATCACAAACCCTAGAATTTACATAAACTCCGCCCCCAGAAACACGATTTATAGATTATCATGACAGAATATGCTAATCAGTGACTAGAAGATCGTTAACTCCACATCAGATACATAAACTCATCAATTAAGCGTTCACAAATGTCCTGTTGCTTCTACATGTCGTCTCTGCTTCTAGAGTCTCTCCATCTTTGACTCCGGTTTGAACATAAAAGGCTAAAAGTTGTTGAAATGTTCAGTGTGTGTGTGTGTGTGAGGTAATCAGAGCTGCTAACACACATACACACACGCACACATACACACTCACACACACACACTCACACACACACAAACACAAACACACACACACACACACACACGCTCTTGTAGCTCCGCCCCCTGTGCCGAGAGCAGCGGCTCATTTGCATTTAAAGGGAGACGCACGTATAAAACGGTGTGTTTTTGCTCACCCTCAAAAAGTGACGATTTTAACATGATATATAAAATATCTGTGGGGTATTGATGGCGCAGGGTGGGGTGGTGATGGCGCAGTGGATAAGACACATGCCTTTGGTGTGAGAGACCCGGGTTCGAATCCACTGTGAGACACCAATGTGTCCCTGAGCAAGACACTTAACCCCTAGTTGCTCCAGAGGCGTGCGACCTCTGACATAAATAGCAATTGTAAGTCGCTTTGGATAAAAGCGTCAGCTAAATGAATAAATGTAAATGTATTTCGAGCTGAAAATTCACACACACACACACACAGACATCAGAGACTTATTTTACATCTTGTGAATAGGACCCCTTTAACACTGGATGTGGTGTTTGTCCCCTAGAGCCGCCGGTCCCCATCGCTCCTCCTCAGCTGATGGCGGTCGGGGCCACGTATCTGTGGATCCAGCTCAACGCTAACTCCATCAACGGAGACGGGCCGATCGTGAGCCGCGAGGTGGAGTACCGCACCGTCTCCGGCTCCATGTACGACCTGCAGCCCGTCGACAAAACCTCACACAAGATCGGCCACCTGGACCCCGACACGGAGTACGAGATCAGCGTGTTGCTGACGCGGCCCCTGGACGGAGGGACCGGGGCCCCGGGGCCCCCGCTGAGAGCACGCACCAAATGTGCAGGTAAACCCGACCGGCTGATGGATGTGGAGTCTGGTGTAAGAAGCACTGTGTGATATACTGTTAAAACCCTCTGGTGCTCTTCGGCCGGCTTTGAGCGAAAAAATTTACGTTTTTTTTTCTTCATCGGAATGGTACGAAACTTGGTAAAGGTTTTGGCACTTGCTGTGTGAACACACAAATATATTATGAACATGATGTGAACAGGTTAAACGGTCCTGTAAGCAATAGTCACACTTGTGCTCCTCGCGGTCAGAAACGAGCGCATTGGAAATGAATGAGAGACGAGTTTCCTCTAGTGGAAGCGTTTGGAACTGCAGCCGAACAACATCTCACTGGAAGATCATTCACTGAGAGATCAGACTCACATCTGGAGCACAGCTGGCTTAGGTTTATGGCTTTGATTTTCTCGCAGTTTTAGAGTAAAACGTGTTTTTGAAAATAAATATTTCATATAAAAATGGAAAATGGTATTTTTGTGCATTTTTCATAACAATAAACGTAAAATTCTGTAACTTTTTTTAAGTTCACTTTATTCAACTTTTTTCGCTTCAGCAATAATCTGCCGAGTGCCGTCTTTAATAAGAGATCAAACTTCAGTCTGTCGCTCTAAAGCATTCAAGATTCACCACAGTTTAAGCTGGAAATGTAATTGAATAAATGGTGAATAAATGGATTATAAATACTGCGTAAATATAATGTAGTACGATAAACTCCCCTAAAAATAGAAAATATTAAATAAAAAAACATTATCAAACCAAAATATAGTACATTCCATTCATTAAAATAAAACAATTCTCTAATTTTTGACCGCCAGGCGAAGATCACCAGAGGGATTTAAAGGGGAATTCCATCCATTATTTACTCTCCCTCATTTCTTTATTCTGTTGAACATAAAAGAAGATATTTTGTTTTAGTTCTCATTGACTTCCATTGGATACTTTTGTCTGTATAATGGAAGCCAATGGCAACTAAAACTGGCTGCCAACATTCTTCAAAATATCTTCTTTTATTAGTGATGCACGATATATGCTCATTTTTAATGTTATCGTTATCGGCCCAATATGAAATCTCTCCGATATATTAAAGCCGATAAATAATGTATTATTTCCTTCAGCTGAGACGCTTCAGATGCGCACTGTTCAACATGATGATTATGAATTGCTTTAAATATGATTGAAATCACTTTGTAAAGTAAAATACAGTAAAGCGCAACACAAGTCTGTCATATCGGCTACATAACATTATAATGAGAACATTATAATTGTGTGTTTGGGTCATGGCTGTTAATGCTGAGACTTTTGTTTTTGTAATCAGGCTCTCAAAAACTATATAAAAGTGAGGGTTTAGATTTATCGGCCAATATATCGGTTATCGGCTTTCAAATATAAAACATTATCGGTTAAGTTTTCATGTTATGTTCCACAGAAGAAAGTCATACATGAAGGTGAGAAAATGATGACAGAATTATAATTTTTGCTAGAATTACGACTCCCTGAAACGCCTCCACTGTAGTCTCGAGTTTCTCCCGGGAACGAACACGTCTCAATATTCCTCATTATAATAATTAATGCGCAGAATAAAGGGGCGGGGCCTGGTTGAGTTAGTCAGTAGTGTGTTAAACTGGCGGTTATGGAAAGGGGCGGGACATTCCCCAAACACACTCGAAGCGCTCGACCAATCACAACACACTGCTCCAGCCGACCAATCAGAGCACAGTGTGCTTTTCAGGAGGAGGGGCTTCATAGAGACAGGAAGTAAACAGAGCGTTACTGACAGACTGGGAAGAGAGGAGCCGCAACAATGGAGAATATGAGGAAATAATCAACATTCAAGCAGGAAAACCTGTTCTAGTAGAGCCTGAAACTACACTAAGACTGGCGTAGAAAGGCATAGGCCCTGTTTTATATCTCATGCACTATATCACTGGTTTTTAACTTGTTTATACTTAAAAAATATTGAATAAATGTGCCAGTGCAGTGAGACAAAAGTCAATATTTGAAAACTGCGATATTTCCATCTGCACTTGAAGGCTGTTGGTGTTGTTTGAGTTTAGTGTCCTCTCGTACCTGACGGTGTGTGTGTGTGTGTGTGTGTGTGTGTGCGTGTGTGTGTGTGTGAGCGATGGACAACTGGAGGCTGCTCTGACCTCCTGCTGAAGGTTTCGCTGTTTCTCATTTCTGCAGAGCTGATGGCGATGGATGAGTCTGTGTCTCTGGCCTTCACACCAGGCCTTTAGGGTGTGTGTGTGTGAGTTTGTGTGTGTGTGTGTGTGTTTCAGTGCTGTTCCTGGCGTGTGTTTTGAGCGGTTAACGTTTGCATTCACTGTGTTTTTGAATGTCTCTCTGTTTGTGATGCCTCAAAAACAACAAGTGACTCATAATTTACCCCACAAATTAAACATAAAGCATTAGATTATTGTTTTAAAAAGACGAAATCCAAAATGTTCCGATATTAGGAAATGCATATGAAGTCTCAGCTGAGATTTCTGATGATCACATGACCTCTCCATCTTCCCACGAACTTCATCAGCATCTTCACGTTCATGTTTCAGATTCACTCGTTCATTATTAGCCTGATGCTTCATGCAACACACACACACACACTCACACACACACACACACACACACACACACACACACACACACACACACACACACACACACACACACACACACACACGTGTGTTTCAGTGTGGAGGTAGATTGTTAAAATGAGTGATTTCCTCCTCAGTCTCTCGTGTCTTTGTTCTCTTTGTCGAGTTTAATGGAAGTCCAGTGACAAAGAAAAACAAGCGTACAGAGAAACGAGTGGTACCTTGAAGTGAACGACTCGGGCTTATCGAGGCTGCTTATCGTGTGCTTCACAAAGACGTTCCTCTAAACGCCAGAGCTTTTATAATAAGTGTGTCTGTTCTCATTAATATTTCTCCAGTCAGAGGAACATCTGCATGAAGTGTTCTTCCCCGGCCGTGACGCACGCAAGGCCGCGTTTATTCGCGATTCCTTTGTCGCGAGAGCTTGTGTGTGTGAGGAGGGAAGTGTAGGAGGAGCGGCTCGTATTGTGCATCTCGAGGACATGCTTCCACAGAAAGAGCTTTATTCGTGTGTGTTTGTTCAGGAAGAGTGTGTTTCTGCTGTGTATCTCAGACTCGTGTGAAGCTCCAGATGTTTCACTGTTTAACCACTGTAAACAACGATACACGCGCAAAACTGTGCAAACTCTCTAAAGCACCATAACAGAAGCTCGAGTGATTCTTTCAGGGTTTTTTTTACACATTATTTGACATTAAATCATCAAACTCTTTAAAATTTTTTGTCAAACTCAAATAATCGTCATTCAAATCTGATTTTCTTTCATTTGTTTTCTTTCTTATTCATTCTTTTCTCTATTTTTTTATATTCTTAATCTTTCCTTATATTTTCTTTCTTTCTATACACTTAACTGTGGTTATATTTATATATACTTTAGGGCTCTGAACTCTTTAACCCTTGCGTGACCATATGGACATTTTTGTCTTGCGTTAATTTTGCTTGTGTTAATCCCAACGGCACACATTTTGGCACAAGTGTGAATTTTTAGTGTAGTTTTACTATTTCACTCTCATTTCCTCTAAAAAATCTATTTTACACTAGTAACACAGAACAGTTCCTCTCAGGACCTACAGGAGGAAAAGTCCCCATTAAAACTGCTATTTTTAATCCCAGGGCCATTTAACTGTAAAACGATGCAACCTCTGTTAATAGGCTTTCAATCTGTTGGCAAAGCTTAATTTTTTTTTTTTTTTTTTTTTTTACCAGATGGAGCCATTTTCTCAAGTTTGGCCTATAAAGCAAAAACTTGCTTTATTCCTGTTTTCTGCTTCTGCATATTATTAGAGGCAATTGGATAAATTATGGAGGGGGGGGGGGGGGGGTTGGTGTCAATGTCAGAGTGTGGTTTGTATGTGTGATAAAAAGTATGTGTGCGTGTGTGTGTGTGTAATATTTGAGAGAGGACAACTCAACTGCAAATCCCAAATCTGCATATAATGGGGGAAATCTGATACTGCGCCCAAACACACTCAAACACACACAAACACACACAAACACACACAAACACACTCAAACACACACAGACACACTCAAACACACACGGACACACACAAACACACACAAACACACCCAAACACACTCACACAAACACACTCAAACACACACAACCACACACAAACCAGCGCAGTCTCATCCCAAGACGTCATATAACTGACGTCTTGGGACGTCTTTTGAACATACGTCAATATCCGCCTTTTTAGGGTACCCTTAAACGTCGGTTAGATGACGTTATCGGATCCTAACTCTACCCCAGACCTAAACCTACCCCTAAACCTACCCCGTCACCTAACTGACGTTAAAGGTAAAGCGTCAGTTGTATGACGTCCCAGGATCCTCATAAACCGACGTTTAAGGGTACCCTAAAAAGGCGGATATTGACGCATGGTCAAAAGACGTCCCAAGACGTCAGTTATATGACTTCTTGGGATGAGACTGTGTTGCACAAACACACACAGACTAGGCATGTGCCGGTATCAAATTTTCATGCTGCGGTTAATTGATTGAGCTTTTATCACGGTATACGGTATTATCACGATATTTTAATTGCTCCAGAGAAACAGATGGATTGTGGGTATCTAAAAAAACAACAACTTGCATCACAATGTGTAATTGTGATTTTCAAAACATATGGCAACTAAACAATTTTATTAAGTTTAGTGACAACATGTTACAATGTTTACATGGTACAATGACTGGTAGGCTATACTGTTTGTATTATTCAATTAAATTCTTGGATTTGATTTCAATCTTAATTCAATATTGACTCATTTGGATAAATATTAGGTAGGCTACAGTCTGCATGTTAATTTTTCTCAAAAAAAAAAAATCTCACATGCTGTAAACATACAGAGAGAAATGAAATACAATGCGGTTTTCATTGTAATAACAATTATGCAATGACAAGTAAAC